AAAGTGATACTGCAACTTCTTACGTATGATTTCACGCAATGTTCATCTCTTCTCCATAAAGTTGCTGACTCTGGGAAAAATGAAGATCCCACTATTCGGACACGGTTCGAAATATCCGACTAGATACCTTCTGAAGCGTTTTACCTCGTTGTGCCATTTACGCATTAGTTTGCTGGGTGAGTTCCTCATGACCTTGCACTTCCGGATATAGTCATTTGACGGTTTTCGCATGCAACTCTGCTAAGAAAGCCAACCTCTACCCTAACACCCGAAAGTCCAAAGTTATTATGCAACCATAGTTCTAGAGCATAACCTTAATCTCGGGTGCTTTTGGAAACCTGTCCAGCATTTTGACTAAGAAAGGAGCAGTGCTTTGCAGAAAATCACTTCGTACCTTGCTTCTGTCAGTTTGTGTAGTTGTACAGCACGAAACAGTTGTTCAAACGAATGAGTTGGAACTATTTGAACTGTGCACAGATGCCTAATGCTTCGATGCTTAATGAGGATGAAGTGGCAGGATACCTCGGAATGATTTGGCTCTATTCTTTTAGGATGAAGATGCAGAAATTAAGAAATGGAGGATTACCATGTTAGACAAACTCGTCTAGCATACGTTATTTACTCCAGCCCATTAGGATCTGGTTGAGAGCTGACAACGGACGTCGACCAGGAGGCCAGCTTGCAACATGGAGGAAGAAGGTAGAAGTAGATCTGCTTTCGAATAAGAGCATTTCCTTCAATGATGCTGTGAGCAGCGCCTTGTAGCAGAAGTGTAGAAAAGCCGCGAATAGAGCGAATATCGTTAGTCAGAGACGTTCTGCTTACGCAAATTCTCAAGGCGAAGATCTCAATAAACACATATTTAATGTTCAAGATGCTACTTGTTTCTAGATTGAACATATATGACTTTAGAGTAAGTTCAAATGGACTTTGTGTGAGTACCAAAAGTTTGTTGCAAGACATGGAATCTACGTAGATCTTGGCAGACGGCAGTGAATGATATTGTCAGCGCTAATAGAAACAATTCAAAACGATAACCGGGACTGATTGCCCTCCAACGTTTTACATGTGCTTCCTTTCAGACTATCTCCTTTCTAGAATGCATGCCATAGAAAAACAAAAACCCCTGATTGCATCCTATTGCTTTTATTTCTAGTAAACGGTCTGGGAATGACAGACAGACTTTCACGGGTACCCTGGAAGTTGATGGGTATATATTTCGCTCTATTAGACTCAGAAATGCGATCTCTATTTTTGCTTTATGCCACTGTCCGTCAGACCGGCATCGATTTTGGAATCATAGGACTTCAGCGGAAACAGATGTTACGCTGGAAGTGTTAAAGCTTTCGAACGAATGGAACGAAAGTCGGTTTGAGTAACGGCGAATTGTCAGGGAAACGGGGCGTCAATAATTTCTGCGGAAAGAGGATGTACAGAGCAGCAGTGAAAAGAATGTCAACATGTAAACAAACTCATTGAGGTGAAGCACAAAGTGAGTGCAGCACAAAGCGGTTTCCAGCAGAAGGAGCACAAAGAGTTTGCAGAACTAAAGATCACGTTGAGATGTGATGCGATAAGAGAGCTAGCGAAACCAGCCATCCAGTAATCAATTCCAGGGTAAGCAGCTTCAGACAGTTTGCGCTGTGCTCTTCATCGAGCTGACCTCCAAAACGCGATTCTGCTAGGTACTCAATATACTCTGATGATCCGAGTTTCGGTCCACCCTCTGTCTGACTGGCACGTGACCTGACAAAAGAGTGTCCCCTCCGGCGCCCTGGTCACGTTTCCAAACTATGGCAATTACCAGCATAAACCGAAAAATATTACCTTATTGACTGCAATGGCATGTTCAAACAAGGACTAAGCTAAAGCTAAGAATCACCTGATCCGGAAGCGACAAATATAATGACGTAAAGTTGCGCAACACATTTGTTGTGCATTGTTCAAGGCAGCTAAACCAACATGCGATAGGTTCGGGCGGAAGAATGAGGACACTGCGAAGACCGTTGATTTTTCGAAGTTTCAGTAAATTGGACGTTGAAGAGCACCGAACATCGAATGTTTGTCTAACGCTTGGGCATTCATCAGATAACGACGATGTAAAGCGATGACCAAGAAGAAAACCGGATTTTTTCTGAAGCGTTACCTCGTTGAATTTTTGTTTGGCTCTGCTCAACTCACAAACCTGAAGTGACGATTCAGGTTTCATAGTGATGCCATCTCATTTTAAGATCAACAAATAGGTTGCAAAATTAATGAACAGTCTTTTCATAAAACATTCCAAGAACGAGTCTTTCTCCTGAGTGAAAACCATACCGTGAAGATCTGACATCTTTCACAGTATTGATTCTGTACTAGAAGATATGGAGTAAAGTACATTCCGCCTAATGACGTGAAAGGCAAATTTTAGCGAAACAGTGATAATCGTACTAGGATTATCCTTCCTTGCCGAGAAGGCTCTCCACAAGTGAGGTAGCGTGATAAAAAACCTATAAGGGTAGATCAAGGAGTGTAGGTGAGTCACTCACATTTATCCCTAAACATTTCGAAACGGATGTTTTTCTTTACACTGATCTGATCCGAAAATCAACTCCTTAATCATTCATATCTAACTTATTTGAAGATCATGAAGTAACACCCATTTTCTGTAAAGTTTT